GCTTTTTTCTTTTTGCTTATGTGGTGCTGAGGAATTGAACCCAGGGCCTCATGCATGCAAGGCAAGCACTCTACCACTGAGCCACCTTCCCAGCCCAATGCTACAGATTTTTAAGATAGTTTGTTTTGGGTGATATTTATTCATGAGCACCAAAGAAGTGGTGTTTCTGAAGTAAAAATTGTGGTTTTCTTAATTTGTTTCATTGTGAACAGACAGATTAAAATGCTTGATAGAAAATAAGTTTTGTACTTTGTAAGCTGAACTACTCATTAAAAGTTGTGTTAATGAATCATCAAAACTTCCCAAATCTTGTAGGTATTTTAGAGAGGAAGTAAGTAAGCCTGTATTTTGGCAATTTGAACAGTATTCTTTGGTAATAAAATGTTTAATATGCCCATAATGCAAATGTTTACCTCCAAATCTTTCTCTTCCAGCTGTTTCCAGTTAGAAACCCTGGAAACATATCTTTGCTGTTTTTCCCCTACTTAGTATTACTCCATTATGAAATTTGTTTTCTTTTGAAATAAATTGAGATTCTTGGTATTTACTGCTATTTTACTTATCTGGGTCATTGTTCTTTGCACTGCTTAAACCCTATGAAGGCTTATCCGTTGCACCAAGAACAAAAATACAAGTCCTAATGGTGGTTTGCAAGCCTCTACCCACTATGGTGCTCATCTTACTTTCTCTGATAACATCTCCTGTTAAAAGTTCACAGTCCAGGGGCCGGGAAGGTGGCTCAGTGGTAGAGCACTTGCTTTTGCATGCTCGAGGCCCTCGGTTCGATTCCTTAGCACCACATAAGAAAAAAGCCAGAAGTGCCGCTGTGGCTCAACTGGTAGAGTGCTAGCCTTGAGCTGAAGAGCTGAGGGACAGCGCCCAGGCCCAGAGTTCAGGCCCCACGACAGGACCCTCCCCCCCCCAAAAAAATGTTCACAGTCCATACGGTCCATAGGTTTTGGAGACAGTCATTAATAGCATTAGGAAATACTAAAGGTGGCAGTACTTGGAACAGCATTTGCTAATCACCAAACATTTTTCAGGGAACCTTTGATACTCATAGTAGCAAAAGTAAAAGGTGAAAAATCACTAATGAAGTTAGGGATGTTAGATGAGGGTTTTTTTGGTTATTGTTTTGTTTTGTTATTGTGGGTTGTGGGGCTTGAACTCAGGGCCTAGGCCCTGTCCCTGAGCTCTTTTCCTCAAGGGTAGTGCTCTACCACTTTGAGCCACAGCTCCACTTTTGTTTTTGTTGTTGTTGCTATTGGTTATGGGGCTTGAACTCTGGGTCTGGGCTCTGGCCCTGCGCTCTTCAGCTCAAGGCTAGTGCTCTACCTCTTGAGCCACAGTGCCACTTCCAGTTTTCTGGTGGTTAATTGGAGATAGGGTCTCACAAACTTTCCTGCCTGGGCTGGCTTAGAACCATGATCCTCAGATCTCAGCCTCCTGAGTAGCTAGGATGACCTAGCAGTACCTGGTGTTAGATAGGTTTTAATACCAGTTATACGGACCACTTACAGGAGGTTTGGGACTTTTAAAGTTGCAGATGAGGGAGTATAATTTTCTGCTTTCCTCTTTCTTTTGGCTTTTTTGTTGTTTCTTAAAGTAAATTTTGCTGAGCCATATGTTTCGCTCTTTTTCTCTCCCTTTTCTCCTCCTTTTTTCCCTATTCCTTCCCCCCTCCTTTCCTTCACTCTCCCCCACTACTCCCCCCACCCCGTGTGCGTGCGTGCGTGCGTGCGTGTGCGTGTGTGTGTGTGTGTGTGTGTGTGTGTGTGTGTGTGTTTATTGGGATTTGAACTGGAGACCTTGTACTTGTTGTCCTAACACTACATCATTAGAGCTAGCCTCAAGTTCAGGACGTCTGATTCTTGGTGTTTGCTTTTTCTTCTAATTTTTAGTTAAATTTAAGTTACTGGGCTTAACTTTCATTATGCTTCCAACTCAGTTTTTGCATAGTATTTCTCCAGACTATGTTTTATGTTTTTTATTTTTCTATTCTCTGTACTAGAATGTTAATCCTGTAAGGTTCCAGTGAGACTTTTTTGTCTTAATTTATTTCCTGCTCTATCTCCAGGAACAACATTGTGAATGTGGTTTCAATATAGATACACAACCAGTGTTTGTTAAGATAACTGACTGAAATTTCCTGTTTGGGGAAAATTTATGCTTACCCATTTCTCAAATTTCTTTTTGTACCTGTCATCTCTGTTATTTGAATTATATAAACGTATATTTAGATACACGTTTTAAGAAGTTAGCTATATTCATTGTGTTTCATGTGTTACATAGGTGGTGTAACATGTATATTACACTGGTAACATTAAAAGGCATAGGTTAAAAAATAGTTTTCCTCCAAGCTACTACTTAAAGCACTGAATTATATCAGATTAGGGATAGGCCTTGATCTGATTTTTTAGGCTGAGATATGAGGATCACAGTTTAAAGCCAGCCTGGGCAGGAAAGTTTGTGAGACTCGTCTCTAATAAACCACCAGAAAACTGGCAGTGGTGCTGTGGCTCAAGTGGTAGAGCACTTGCCATGAACTGAATAGTGCAGAGAGAGTGCCTAGGCCCAAAGTTCAAGACTCATGATGAACATAATAAACATAAGAAACAACAACAATAGGCTTTTTAAAAGATGATGTACAGGGCTGGGAAGGTGGCTCAGTGGTAGAGCGCTTGCCTTGCATGCCTGAGGCCCTGGGTTCAATTCCTCAGCACCACATAAGCAAAAAGAAAAAAGCCAGAAGTGGCGCTGTGGTTCAAGTGGTAGAGCGCTAGCCTTGAGCTGAAGAGCTGAGGGACAGAGCCCAGGCCCAGAGTTCAGGCCCCACGACTGGACCCCCCCCCCCCAAAAGAAATAAAAAAAATAAAAGATGATGTACAGAGAGGGTTACACATAAGAGTACATTGATTTTTGGACAATGGCACCCTTTCCCTCGCTCTCTGACTCCCATTCCCAATACAAGTTGTATAGTTCATTTTCAATATAGTACCTAGTGAGTACTACGGATGCATTTATTTGATCTGGTAATTTTATAGATAAAGCAATATTGGTATTAAAATAAAAGAAATCCCTAGTTGGAATACTCTCTTCTGAGTTTAAATCTGCCTTACTTAAAATGTTTGTATTTTTGTAACAATTTCTAATTGTATAGTTTATAGGCAAGCAATAAACAGCAAGATGTTTGAGGTGGATATGAAAATTGCTGCAATGCATGTAAAAAGAAAGCAACTCCATCAGCTACTACCTAACCATGTGCTGCAGAAAAAGAAAAAGGTAAATTTAGAAAGTACCTAAACAGCATTGCTAACATAATGTTGTATGCATCTAGCCTTTCAGTATTTCAGAATTTAGGTTTAGTTAATAGATCATATTGGAAATTAATGCCAGTAGTAAAGAAGTCTGTTATGGAATAGTTTCAATATATAATATGCTCTAATCAGTTTTTTTGTTTTTATATTTGCCTCAAACTTCAGAGAGATTACTGGTGATGCTTCATATCTTTATTTTGTTCATACCTGGATTCTCTTATTTTAAAAAAGAGGTTTTTTTTTTTTTGCCATTAAATTTCTACATGTCTGAATTCTTTTAAACAGAAAACAATCCAAGTAGTCTGGTTACATGTGGATAGAGCACATTGCATTTTCAAATATAAATGGATTTTGTGTGTGTGAGTGTGCATGTGTGAATGTGTAAATCTATATAGTTTAAGCATTAAAAGATAGGTTTGGCATGTTGTTATATGTCTGTAAATCCTGGCTTGAAGAGGCTAATGCAGGAGGATTGTGAGTCCAAGGCCAGCCCCCTTAAAAAAGAAAGAAAATGAAAAATTAGTGATTATAAAAGGTGAAATGTTGTGGTGTTTATGCTTCCTTTTGAATTACTTATGAGACATTTTACCTGCTCTAGGCTTGCAGAGAGCATATTGTAATTTTTTAGTATATAGGTAACAATCTTATTCTGAAGTGATTTCAAAAATAGAGAACTTACACAGCAGTGGAAGTAATTTAGTAGAGCTGCATATATTAGGAAAATAGACACAGATGACTATGTGTCATTTGATTCTTAATATGAAAAGCTTAAACACAATTTGTTTAGGGGAAAATATAAAAGAAAACATGTTACAGTGATAATCATTGTATTCAGGGATGGTAACTAGGCCTGGGGTTGGGAAGTTGGAAATGAATTTAATATAAAAGAAAAATGAGCTTTTATGATATTTTGTTTCTCAAAACACAGTAAATGATAGCATTGAAATTAAGCATGAGGTCTCTGGAGTATAGATTCAGGCTCTGCTGCTTCCTATCTCTAACACTCATACAATTTATCTAGCAAACATTTTTTTTTCACTGCTCTCATTGATAAAATAGACATATATATATATTTTTTTGGTCCGGTTGTGGGGCCTGAACTCTGGGCCTGGGCACTGTCCCTCAGCTCTTCAACTCAAGGCTAGTGCTCTACCACTTGAGCCACAGTGCCATTTCCGGCTTTTTTCTTTTTGCTTATGTGGTGCTGAGGAATGGAACCCAGGGCCTCATGCATGCAAGGCAAGTGCTCTGCCACTGATCCACCTTCCCAGCCCCAGGCATGATATTTTTACCTGAGTAAGTAACTTCGTTAAGAGTACTGCCTAACTGCTTACACTGGCTTCTGTTACTGTGACGAATTGCCATCAGTTAAGCTTAAGAATGGGTATAATGATATTTGGGTAGTAGTGAATGTCTGAAATGACTTTTTTTTTTTTTTTAATTGAAGTAGGGTCTTGTTGTGTAGCCTAGGCAGACATTGAGCTCATGATCCTCCTGTTTTAGCATATAGAGTGCTGGGATTCTAGGTGTATGCCACCATTCCAATCCTAAAGGATTGAAACATTTAGGAACTTAGATATGATGTTTTCTTTGAAAGTGCTGGCTGTTAAACTTACAGCCTCATTTTGCATATGCTAAGCAGGAGCCATATATACCGAGAGCTAATACAATATTGCCGAACTGTTAGAGCAGTTAATTAAGCTGAAATTTGCAATGTATAAAGGTACATACACGTTTTATTTTCAGAAGTGATTGCAAATAGATTATTAACACTTAGCTATTTGTTTTATTAAATGTTAAACTTGTCATTAAGTAACAGTTAATATTTGGAGTAAGTAAATAGCTTAACTGTAGTTTAAAATGTTTTATATTAAGGTAATATTTCTGTATGTATAATCAACGTTGAATAATACTGAGTTATTTGTGATTAGGATTTTATTGCTGAAAAACATTTATGAAACCTAATTTCATTTTGTTATAATTGGTCTTAGTATTTTAGTTTATATACTTTTGCTTGTAATCCTACTTTTTTTAAACTAATGTTTGTTAATTTTGCCTTTTTTGTTATTCAAGTAGCTGTACAAAGTTTAAAGGTTTCTAGTGCCATGTAACATTTTTTTGACCTATCCTTGTTTTGTGCTTACCTATATTGCGATCATCTAAGTTACCATTTTAGTGACTGTTCAGTGTTTCTTTGTATGGCTATGGTATTCTCTGAAATAATTTGTTTTTATTGTTAAAGTAGTAACCAGTGTCTGGGACTCTAAATGCATGAACATTTGCATGTAGCTTCTGTTCAGCTAGTTTATAAAGCACTTGTTGTCAAGTTTTTTTTTGTGGTTAATATTCTAACCAGCATGTTGGTAGAATTTTTTAATAGAAGCAAGTTCAAGAAACTTGCTCAAAGTCATATAGTAAGAGCTTGAGTTTTAGATCTATGTATGATTGAAACATATGTGTACTTGTTTCTCTAGTATGTTTTTTGTTTCATTTATTTTTATTAGAAAATTTGGTAGAGAATTATTTGGAAATGATCCCTAGTGGTGGCACAGTAGTCACCTGGCCATGCTGGTCTCTCTGTAGACCTCAGTGTGCTAATTAAGTGCAATTACTTACTGAATAAATCCTTCTGATGTCTGATGAAGAGTAAGGTTGGGAATATTTTCAATAAGAATTGTTACCCATTTCATATATTAGATGCTTTTATTTTATAACTAAATAGTAACTTCTAATCTTTTACAAATTTTTTTTGGGGGGGGGTCCGGTCATGGGGCTTGAACTCTGGGCCTGGGCACTGTCCCTCAGCTCTTCAGCTCAAGGCTAGCACTCTACCACTTGAGCCACAGCACCACTTTTTTCTTTTTGCTTATGTGGTGCTGAGGAATCGAACCCAGGGCCTCATGCATGCAAAGCAAGCACTCTAACACTGAGCCACTTTCCCAGCCCCTACAAATTCTTATCTAGTTAGTACTTTCTTCTCTTTTCTGGACTGGGTTTTTTGAGTCAAGGTCTCTCTATGTAGGCCTGGGTCTGGTGATCCTACCAAGAGTTGGGATTACAGGTTTGTGCCACCATTGCTGCTATTTGATCTATTTTAATTAATTACATTAGAGTTCTTTTTAGGGGTAAGTTTCTGAGGCCATTTCTCAAGTGGTATAGGGCTTCAAGCTCTGAGTTCATACTCTAGTACTGCCACAATTAAAAAAAAAGATTAGAATTCAATCTTGGCTTTGGGTCAACTGAATGCTAAACCACACCCACATAGGTATGGGGGTATATTTCAGTGGTAGAAAGTTTATGAACATTTGAGGACCTGAGTTTGATCCACAACACAGAAAGCAAGCAAGCAAACAGACAAAAAACCCAAACCAAAAGTTTCTGTAGAGAAGTAAATACTGAGATTAGAGGTTTTGGGGGAAGTAATGAAGCTAAGGGAATCTGTAATATAGTAGTAACACTTGGTAGCAAAAATTAATATTGTAGCCAGTGTTGGAGGCCCATGTCTGTAATACTAGCTACTCAGGAGGCTGAGCTCTGAGGATCACGGTTCAAAGCCAGCCCTGGCAGGAAAGTCTGAGACTAAAACCACCTGAAAACTGGAAGTGGCGCTGTAACTGAAGTGGTAGAGCACTCGCCTTGAACTGAAGAGCTGAGGCCAGGCCCAGAGTTACACCCCCACAACTGACCAAAAAATAACAATATTGTGTCACTTACCAATTATCTTTAACCCCATGAAAACATTCATGTTGTTTTTGTTTTCTTTTTGAGTTAAGGTGTTTCCTACATTGCCTGTTTTGAAGTGCTTTGACTTGAACATTAAATTCTATATGTGGATATTTTTATAGTTTTCAGAAAATTTTTCTGCTTTTGTTTTTCACAGGATAATACACACCACTAAACATACCATTTTGAAATCTAAATTGGATTTAGAAAACTAGAAATATCTTGCTTTTATTAAGAGAGGCTTATTTGTTCACAAAATACTAATGAGTGGGAAGGTGGCTCAGTGGTAGAGTGCTTGCCTAACATGTATGAGGCCCTGGGTTTGATTTCTCAGCACCACATACGCAGAAAAAGCCAGAAGTGGTACTGTGACTCAAGTGGTAGAGCTGTAGCCTTGAGCTGAAAAGCTGAGTGACAGTGCCCAGGCCCAGAGTTCAAGCCCCATGACTGACCCTCCACCCCCCAAAAATACTAATGAGTGACAATAAATTATATTTGATAATTCTGTGAATTTGTGTAATTTCTTATGTTTACTGTGGATAATTTGGAAGCTATAAATAGTTGGTATGATATTATGCATCTTTGTTTCCCTATCATTCTGGAGACCAAAGCAGAAAGGATCCTTAGAGCCCAGGAGTTTGAAGTTAGTAGCCATGGGGAGGAGGAGGATTTTTTTCTTTGCTTTGTTTTCCCTCCCTCCTTCCCTCCCTCCCTCCCTCCCTCCCTCCCTTCCTCCCTTCCTTCCTTCTTTCCTTCCTTCGTCAGTTGTGGGGCTTTAACTTAGGGCCTAGGCACTGTCCCTGAGCAATTGTTCAAGGCTAGTAATCTACCGTTTTGAACAGCAGCTCCACTTCTGGTTTTTGAGTGGTTAATTGGAGATAAGAGTCTCTTGGAGACTTTTCTGCCTTTGCTGGTTTGGAACTGTGATCCTCAAATGTAAGCTAGTGTGATCCACTAGCACTTGTGTGAGGGTGATTGTAAAAATCACTTCTAATCCCACTTGCAAGAAGTAGGCATTTAATCCTAACATGTCATGTTTATTAGTTGTTTATAGTTGTTTATGTGTTTTCACATTGCAGTGATTTTTAGTTTGCATTGTCTTATAGTGAGTATTCATGCTCATGTAATACTTTTCTTTCATTTAGGAATGGTAGTTAAGTCAAGAGGCATGTGACTCCCAAGTCTGCCTTTACACTGAACTATGGCACTTGGGGTTTTTATAAACATAGTGATCTGTGTCTTTTAGTAAAAATCTTATGTAAGTGAAGGATGGTTTTTTTTTGTAATTCAAATATCTGGTTGGAAAAAATAATCTGGTTGGCATAGTCATTTAATTAAATACTGTTTTGATTGTAGCATTCAACAGAAGGAGTCAAGTTAACAGCTCTGAATGACAGCAGCCTTGATTTGTCTATGGACAGTGATAACAGCATGTCTGTGCCTTCACCTACTAGTGCTATGAAGACCAGTCCATTGAACAGTTCTGGCAGCTCTCAGGGGTAAGCAGAGAATCTGAAACAGGCTATTCTCATTCTCATCATATGTCATTTGTTTACCCTGTTAAATTTATTCCACCTCTTGGTATTTTAATTTTTATTTTTTATTAGCATAAATTAATTGTACAAAATAATAGGCTTCATTGTGAGATTTTTATAGATGCACAAAATGTACTTTGATCATAACCCCTTCATTAAACTTACACCCCACAGCTACCCATTCCACTCATGTTCTTTTAAACTGCAATTCCTAGTTTTTGTGTCAGTAAATATATTTGTATACTAATGTATATGCTTGATTTTCATTTTTTGGAACTGATACCCCTTGACTTAACCTTATTTAGACAGTTATGATACAGAGAGTGAACTGTTAGGAATGCTAGAAGAGACAAAAGTCACAAAAGCATTTTTCTGTCTTCAAGCTGCTTATCATCATAACTTTGGGGAACTTGTCTATAAAACCATTAATGATTAAATAATAAGCTAAAACAAAGAGAGTTGAGGGGGCTGGGAATGTGGCTTAGTGGTTCAGTACTTGCCTAGCATGCATGAAAGTCTGGATTTGATTCCTCAGTACCACATAAACAGAAAAGAGCCAGAAATGGTGCTGTGGCTCAAGTGGTAGAGCGCTAGCCTTGAGCACAGAGAGGCTCAGGGACAGAGCCTAGCAAGTGTGAGACTCTTGAGTTCAAGAGTACTACTGATCCCCCCAAAGAGAACAATATCAATATATGACTAGAGCTATAAAATTAAAGCATAAAACCATATGTACATGACTTGCTGACACTAACTATGGATTGAACCCAAGGGGTATATTATAGTTTATAAAGTATAAAGACAAGCACTCTTAACACTTTGAGCTATGCCCACAACCCAATAAAGCTATATTTCTGCATAATGTCTATACATTATGCCCCGGTCGTGGGGCCTGAACTCTGGGCCTGGGTGCTGTCCCTCAGCTCTTCAGCTCAAGGCTAGCGCTGTACCACTTGAGCCATAGCGACACTTCCAGCTTTTTTCTTTTTTCTTATGTTGTGCTGAGGAATCGAACCCAGGGCCTCAGGCATGCAAGGCAAGCGCTCTACCACTGAGCCAACTTCCCAGCCCCTGTCTATACATCTTTGTAATGCAGCTATGTACTATTTTCTGTTATTTATATCCTATCATACTACCAAATTTTCAAAGGGATTTATTAAGAGTAACTGCCTAGAGTAATAGTGTTTTCCACTGTCAAGATTATGTTTCAACTTAAGCCCCTTGAAGAATATGCTAAAAACTGCATTTGGAAGTCTTTCATACTTTAATTTTTGTTGTTGTTGTTTGTCAGTCATGGGGCTTGAACTTGGGGTCTCGGCGTTGTCTCTGAGCTCTTTTTCTCACGTGCTCTACCACTTTGAGCTACGGTGTTACTTCTAGTTTTCTGGTAGTTAATTGGAGCTGAGTCTCATGGACTTTCCTTCCTGGGCTGGCTTTGAATGGTGATTCTCAGATCTCAGCTTCCTGAGTAAATAAGGTTACAGGTGTGAGCCACCAGCACTAAACCATATTTCACTTTTTAAGAAACAGTTTTAAAATTTGTCAGTTAATATATAAGCAGTGGCAAAGGTAGAATTAGGGGATGATTTTATTGAGAAATGGAAAATGAGTGATGTTACATTTTTCCTTTGGCTATTGTGGATGTGGTCTTTTGGGTTTTGTTTTGTCAGTTTTGGGGCTTGAACTCGGTGCATAGGCACCGACCCTGAGCCTCCTTGTGCTCAGGGCTAGTGCTTTACCACTTGAGTGGGGTCTGGCTTCCGGTTTTTGAGTGGTTAATTGGAGATAAGAGTTTCATGGACCCTTTCCTGACCAGCCTGGCTTCAAATTGTGATCCTCAGATCTCAGCCTCTTGAGTAGCTAGGATTATAGGCATGAGCCACCAGCTCCTAGCTTGTACATGGTTTTTTTAAACTAATCAATTCTAATCTGAAGACATCAGGCCTGGCCTCCTGAACATGCTGGGGAAGTTTGTCATTGTCAGAGTTCCCAATTTGTAGAATACCAAACTACCATGTTGTCATTTTAGTATGGATAGGGCAGGTGAAGAAGCAAACATTTTAAATAAGAATTGGGGGATTTTGCATAATATATATATATATATATATATATA